GGCTGCTCTTTAATTCTGCACGCCTGAGTGCTCTGTGATTAATGACGGCCACTTAGCTGGGAGACACGGTCAATAAGGCCCAGGAACTTAATACCGACCGGGATGTACTCCGAGGAGGAGATAGGCTTCCTCCGGGGGGGGGGGGGGGGGGCACCAACCGGAGCAGAGCCCAGGAAGAAAGAAAGAAACTTTTGGTGCTTCAAAAGTATAAAAAATGACATTTATTGGGTCACAGGCAAAGTGTATATAACAAAAACCTCTCTTTTCACCGTCTTTTCCGGCTGTTTTCTTAAAGCTAAGATTGATTAAGGCCGAACTGATGCTGAGAGCCAATGAGGACTCCAGGAGTCTCCCTTCAGACGTGGTAACTTCAAGGAACTTTCACTTATTATTTTATCTTAAATTCAAGGCTCTATATGTTGTTATCCACCCATAAATTAGTATACATTTTTAGCTCTTTTTTCTTTTCCCTTGTGGTCCAGTCAAGAACATGTTAGCCCGACTCTTTAGTTCGAAACCTGAGAATAAACCAGAGTGGATCAAAAGTATAAATAATTACATTTATTAGTTCACAGGTAAAGTATATATGACAAAAACCTCTCTCTGGGTCTCAGTGGGCAAAGAGCCCTGAGATCTGGGTGATGGGCATTATCTCCTGGGCTCCATCCGCCTCCTCAAAGGAGGACTGGACACAACCAAGTCCTATTGGCCAGTTACCTCTGGGCAGGAACAGGCCAGGTCCTAATTCATGCAGATGACAGGAATGTGGTAACAAATGGTGTGTGTGTGTGTGTGTTTACCTAAAGGTGGATCTAATGCAACAGAGAGAGAAAAAGAGAAAAAAGAGAGTCTGTGGACACAGCCAGAGACTTTAACACAAAATAGTTATAAATAAAAATAAAACAATCAGTAATTTACATAGATTATATGATAGCATACAATGCTAAAGTGAGTAATTATAGCCAAATTCTAACAATACTGTCGAGAACTCGGGTTCAACTGAAACTATCTTTGCAGAGAACTGCTGCACCATCTATTAAGAAGCTCCCAGGAGTGTGTGTGTGTGTGTGTGTGTGTGTGTGTGTGTGTGTGTGTGTGTGTTGGAGACGTGTACAGGCAGAGATGGTGGGGTTTGAAGCAGAGGTTGCTTTGAGTTTGAGTTCCTGCATGGAAACCGAATACATGTGTGCTCGTGGGAATAGTTCCACCTGAATAAGAATAAGACATGGATGTGTTCCGGTCTATGGGAATTCAGCTGCACCACAAAGGGGAATGAAGTGATATTGTCATATTGTCCTATATGATATCGATGTTTGTTTGCTCTTAGATAAACGCACGGAGGCAAAAATGATGCTTCTTGCCTTCTCCAGAACACGCACAACACCGCATAATCCCTTAATCTCTTTATCACCGCAATCGCAACAATACAAACACGGGACGTATAGCAGGAACCCGGTGTGAGTGTGTATGTGTATGTGTATGTGTATGTATGTGTGTGTGTGTGTGTGTGTGTGTGTGAATCCAAAGATCCCGCTGCAAAGTCCCGTTTCCCCTTAGCTCCACATCATCCATCCCCCCTAAAGCTGGTGTATAAGTTGGACCACCGCTAATGAAATGCGGGTGTATTTGCAGCTGTAACAACACTGACCTCCAGCGTGAGCACGGAAGGACGGAACATATATGAACAATTGTCCTTGGTGCGCAAAATATTAGTCGTATAGCTAAAAAAAAAAAGAAAGATCTGCGTTTAAAACACTCGTTTTTTTTACAAGCATTAAACTGGATAGCTGCATTAAACAACCCGCATCTTTCACCGAGTTGTGTTTCGTCTTTTATATCATCAGATCAGTGAATATTTTCCTTATTCTAGTGTTCCACCCCTCCACATAATAAATCTGCGTTTAAAACACGTGTTTTTATTTTGCAAACATAAACTGTATATCTGCTTTAAACACCGAGTTGTGTTTCATCATTTATATCATCAGATCAGTAAATATTTTCTTATTCTCGTGTTCCACCCCTCCACATAATAAATCTGCGTTTAAAACACGTGTTTTTCTTTTTACAAACATAAACTGTATATCTGCTTTAAACACCGAGTTGTGTTTCCTCATTTATATCATCAGATCAGTAAATATTTCCTTATTCTAGTGTTCCACCCTTTCACATAATAAAGATATAGATCCCCATCTCTCCTTTCGGGGTGGAGCACAACCCAGCCAGCTCTCTCCACACACACACGCGCACACACGCGCGCGCGCGCACGCGGAAAAAAAAAGGCAAGAGAAAGACACGTGGTTGATACAACCCTCTCCCCGGACCCGGTGGAGGAGAGATGCGGGCGCAGTCGGGATGGGAGCGGAGCGCGGAGAGAGACGCGTTTTAACCCGGGATGGAAATGGGGAAAACGAGGACTTCACAGACTTGTATTTGGGACCTTTTTCCCTCGTGTTTTTCCCACAATCAAAGGAGAGCCTCGCGCGGAGGATGTGGACGATCGCAGGTGGGGATGAGGAGAAAAAAGGCGACGTTTCTGTGGTGAAAAATGCGCTCAAGTCATACGGACGTTTATTTGATTTTTTATTTTTAAAGTCTCACCTTGATTAAATGATTAAATATGGATTTCTTAAGTAATTCCACCTTTGCGGACGGGACGGAGGCGGGAAACATCTCCTCTAATTCCACCTCCGAGAGCCCGTACGGTCAGCTGGCCATCTGGAGTCTGGCCGGACTCGTGAGTTTCCTGATTTTGTTCACGGTGGTGGGAAACGTGCTGGTGGTCATCGCCGTTTTGACGAGCAGCGCCCTGAAACCGCCGCAGAACCTGTTCCTGGTCTCCCTGGCCAGCGCGGACATCCTGGTGGCCACGCTGGTCATCCCCTTCTCCCTGGCCAACGAGCTCATGGGCTACTGGATTTTCGGGAAGATCGTGTGCGACTTCTACCTGGCGCTGGACGTCCTTTTCTGCACGTCCTCCATCGTCCACCTGTGCGCCATCAGCCTGGACAGGTACTGGTCGGTGACCCAGGCTGTGGAGTATAATCTAAAGAGGACGCCCAAAAGGGTAAAGGGGATGATCGTGGTGGTGTGGCTGATATCGGCCGTGATCTCCTTCCCTCCGTTGATCTCTATGGACCGTAGCAGTAGCGAAGTCGTGCCCCAATGCATGCTGAACGACGAGACCTGGTACATTTTGTACTCCAGTATCGGGTCGTTTTTCGCCCCTTGCGTCATCATGGTCCTGGTCTACGTCCGGATTTACCAGGTGGCCAAAACCAGGACCCGGACCATGTCGGAGAAGAAGAGGGACGTGGCGGAGGATTCCCCTCTAGAGAACGGGAATGCGAACCGGAACGAGACGAGGACGGGCGGGTCCGTGAAATCCGCCAAAGACGGGAGTTTAAAAGACCGGGAACGCCAAAACGGGCACTGCCAGGATCCGGAGTCGGGGGTCGGATCCCCGTTGCCGAACGAGCCCAAAAACCACGAGGACGAGTTCGAGGAGAGCAGCTCGTCGGACGAAAAACCCAAGAAAAACGCCGGTTCCTCGAAGAACCACCACCAGAACCACCACCAGGACCGGAAATCCAGCCGGAAGAGCAGCTCCGCCTCCAAATACTCCAGCAGGAAGTCGCGGTCCAGCTCCAAATCCATGGAGCTTTTCTCGTCCCGCCGCAAACGGCGGAGCACCGTGAACCGGAAAAAGGCGCAGGCGGCCCGGGAGAAGCGGTTCACCTTCGTGCTGGCGGTGGTCATGGGCGTGTTCGTGGTGTGCTGGTTCCCCTTCTTCTTCTCCTACAGCCTGTACGGCGTCTGCCGCGAGGCCTGCCGGGTCCCAGACGCCCTGTTCAAGTTCTTCTTCTGGATCGGGTACTGCAACAGCTCCCTGAACCCGGTCATCTACACCATCTTCAACCAGGACTTCCGCAGGGCCTTCCAGAAGATCCTCTGCAAGTCCTGGAAACGCTCCTTCTGAGAGGCTCCCGAACGGGATGATTTTAGAGCCGGGTTTTCCTCCACAGAGGAAGCTAGC